GCCTCGGGGAATGCAAGGGACACCTGTGTGCGCAGCAGCAGCAGCTGAACTCCCCCTCTCTTTCCTGCAGCCTCTGCTCCTTTGTTTTGGAGGAGCTGAAGTTCCTGCCCACTGATGAGAAGAGCAGGGACCACAAAGCCAGATGCCTCTGGTTCCTGGACACCCTCATCAAGTTCAGCCAGCAGAAAGTGATCAAGAAGAAGCGTAAGAGAGTTTTCAGCTCATAAATAGATGCGTGTGGGAATGTCTTCATCATCCTTTGCCTACCAGCTGAGTGTGTGGATCATGCCCCTGCCATGCTCAGGGTCCTGCTTTTGAAGGAACACCACACAAAACATCTTTGCCGAGATTTTCCAGACTTGCCATCCTCCTTAGAACTTGTGTGTCTGTCTTTGTCAGTCCTTGGCAGGGCTGAGGGAGGAGGAACTGGCAAACCTGGCTTTAAATTTACTGTGTTGCCCTGACACAGCAGTCACCCATAGGACTTGTCTAAAGGGAAGGTGGGAATGACTGAACTTGGTGATAGCAGGGACTTGTTAGGGTGATCTCAGCTTTAACAGTGTTTGTGGCAAAAGAAATAATGCAGAGGTGTGTGTGCATTTTAGATTGTATACAGTGGAACTGGGAGGCTGCTTTTAGTAAGAAAATAAAAGCTGTTGGGATTCTCTCAGGCCTGAAGAATTAAGAGACCTAGAAGTGAAGCACTGAGGTTTGTTTTAGGTTTATTGTGTTCCTGGGAAGAGCCCAGCCCCAGCAATCCCTAAGTGCTGGGATTACTGGGGCTGGACTCAGTGATCCCAGTGGGTCACACACGTTCTGCTGTTCCATGCTAAGTGTCAGGATGATGCATGTGCTGCTGTGCAAAGCAGGCTGTGTGCTCCTCATTGCTCTGCACTGCCCCTTTCTGCCCTAGATCCAATGGGTCCTGAATGCCCACACATCATCAGCAAGAAACTCATGAAGAATTTCACCTCGCTGACCTACAACAATGGCAGGTGAGGGATGCTGTGTGGTGCTCCTGGCACAGGCACAGCAGAGCTCAGCTCGAGGGGCCACAGACACATCTCACGAGTTCTGCCTCTTGCCACACAGCATCCAGAATTTAATCTCTGCCTCCATGAAGGCCAAAATCACCGCCTATGCCATTGCCTTGGCTCTGCACATTAACAACTTCCAGACAGATCTCACCGTCCTGCAGAATGACCTGAAGCTCTCGGAGAGCAGGTGAGTCTCCTGTTCCTCCACACCTGCCAGGACCCTGGGATAGCTCCGGAGTGGCTCTGCACCTGGGCAGGGCAAGGACAGGCAGTAGGCTGTGGGTGCAGGACCTGCATTTCCCTGGCAGCTGCAGCTCTGCTCCAGCTGTGCTGCTCTCCCTGGCCCTGCAGAGTGCATTGGATCAGGCTTTCTGGCCAAAACTTCACTCGTTGCTGGCTCTTACCAAAGCCCTTGGGCACTGCTTGGTTTTCAAGCTTCCTCATCAGTTTTGATGCCACCACTTATTTTACCCACAGTTATCCTCTATTCTTTGAGCAGAAGTGGTGGATTTAGTGGGTTTAAGAGCAATCTGCTCTTGGTTTCTATCCGTTTTGCCTTTTTCTTTCTGGGACTAAGCTTTTCCAGGAGTCCACGTCTGTGCACAGAGACACCTCGGGGCCCTCCGAGGGGTCGGCCATGGGGCATTTCTGGCATTTCTCCTGCTTTCCAGGATCCTGGACATCGCCAAGGCGCTGCGGCTCAAGGTGTCCAAGGCCAAGGGGGTGCCAGGGCTGGAGAATGACCAGAGCCACAAGCTGGGCACCCTGTCCCTGCCCCTGCCCACGCAGAAGGCACCAGAGGGACAGCGCAAGCGCAAGAAAATGAGCTGAGCAGCCCCAGAAGCTCTGGGGGCACACAGCCCCTTCCTCACAAGGGCATGGGGATGCCTTCATCTGCTGGGTTTGGGTCCAGCATCAGCCCTCACCCAGCTGGAACCCAGGCTGAGGGTTTCACCTCTGTAAAATGCTGCTTTTTTTTCTATTTATATAGAAAAAGCTGTAATAAAACCTTTTTTTTTCTAGTTTGTCTGGGCGGGTGTGAAATGGAGGTTGAGCTGGAGCACAGGGAACAGTTTGAGGTGGCAGGTTCTGGTTCATGGCCCCTCCCAGGTTCAAGATCAGAAGGAGGGAGACAAAGAGTGTGACTTACATACACCTTTTTGTTTCTCTGGAGTGCCAGTGTAATCCTGTGCTCAAAAACTGCAAAGATATTCAGTTTCTGTCACTTTTCCTATCCTGGCTGTTTTCCTGGGCAGGGAGAGAGAGCTCTGTGATTTGGAGCTGGTATCACCTTCATGGAGAGCAGTGAAAATGGGCCCACAGCTGTGGCTTCCCAGCCCTCAGGGAGATCCTTTAGAGTGGTTCCAGAGTTGTCACTGCTGGTGATGTCTCTGTGTCCAGGTGCCTTTGGAGTGCCTCTGGTTACAGGAGCTCCACAAATCCACAGTGAAGCAGTTCCCCAGCGTTCACAGGGCACCTCCTTTGCCCCTGTGTGCTCGGGGCCTCTGGCCTGTCCCTGGGCACCTTCCCTGCTGCTGCCCTTCTCTGAGGGGAACGTGGGAACAGCTAGACCTGGTGATGGTAGGCCCTTGTTAGTGTGGTCTCAGCTTTAACAGTGTTTTATGGCAAAGGAAATAGATGCATAGGTCAGTGTAGCAGGCTCCACGGAATTGGCTAGGGCTCTGTGGAAGGCTGAGACTTAACAGTAGGAATTGTTGAGTCAGGATGAAATATCAAAATAAGCTCCTGTCTGCCGCCTCTCGGACCCCAGCTTATCTCTGTAACCCCATAGGTCACTTTTCCCCTAACCCCTACTATTGGACAAGTTTGGATCCCCGTACACCCTACAAAAATGGGCTGGTTTAGCCCATTCTGGAGAAGAAGAGCCGTCACAGACCCTTCAATAAAACCAGCACTGTGAAACCACCAGCACTATTCCTTCTTCTCCTCTCTCATCTGCTTTTCCCTCCAGCCCACAGGTGCCTTAGCAAGCAGGAGCTGAGATCCTAAGAGAGCTGATAATCCCTAAAGAGCTGAAATCCACCAAGCTTGTTAAGGCAGCCGTGGCTACGAGGGGCCTGGGCATTGGGGCACTATTTTTCATAATAGATGTCTGTGACAGAGTTAATATAAAAGGGATGTTTTATTTGGAAGCATTCACAGGCAGCTATGGAAAGATGTCCACAAAAGCCCACTCACACAGGATGAGTACAGTTTGTCTAAGTTTAGCAAATCAGCATAATTGACAATAAAGCACCAATTAGGAGGACAAGTGGTGATGCAACTCCCCACCCCAGGTCTGGCTCCTTCTCCAGAGCCCTCCCTTGGCACTGGTGCACTTTGTCCATGGCATTATCTCCAAGAGCTGCTCTCAACCTTGGGAGCCAGGAAAGAGCCAAGAAAGCACAGGGGCTTTGTACCCCTGGGGCTTGGAGCTCTGGAATCTTTCTTTTTGTTTACAGAAAGACTATGGAAAATTACTGGGGAAACTGGTCACTAATACAAGAGGCTACAGAGCTACAAATATATGTGTAAAGAATACAGAGAACATAGAAAAAAAGACAAAATCCAAATAGCATCACTATGTGCGCGATCTCCAGCTGCTCACAGTGACCCCGAGATGCGTCACAAAGTCTCTGTTCCCAGCCCGGTGCTCAAAGAAGCAGTCAGGGCTCTTCAGTTCTCGGTCTCAAGGTTGTTTATTGTTCCTTACCTATAAAATTCTTTCTCCTGCCCTGCCCAGGTCCCTCCAGCAGGACAGTCAGAGGCACTCTGCCTGCCCCAGGGCAGTGTTATCTTTTTATACTGAAAACTACCTGTACAATATTTACAGTTACTTCCCAATACCCATCACCTGTGTTAGACAGTGAGCTTCTACTCTAAACCAATCCCAAAGTGCCACCATCACCCAGAAGATGGAGGCCAAGAAGAAGAAGGAGAAAGGCTGGACATGCCCAGATTCCTCCATCTTGCCTCCTGAACCCCCATTCTAAAAACCCCAAAATCTATTTTTCACCTTGTGATAAATTCAGTATTATTCTACCTAAACTGTTGTGGCTTGCAGATCTTCATCTGGGGTTGATAACTTGCTCCACGGGTCATAATCAAACCCACAGGGGCATTTTGGGCTCTGAGCCCCCTGGCAGGGTCTGGGCTGCTCAGGACAGACAGAGGGATGTCGTGGCTCCTGACACATCTGCACCTCCGCAGGTGAGGACAAGGTCACAGAGTCACAGCACCACCGAGCAGGGAAAACAGCTCCGAGGTCATCGAGCCCAACCTCCAGCCAGGGCACAGCAGCGTGCCACAGGCAGCGTGTCCCCATCAGGGATCCTGGCACAGAGCACAAGATGCCTGTGACTTGGATTATGACCCATGGAAAAAATTACCAACCTTACATGAGGATCAGCAAGCCACCACAGTCTAAGTAGAATAATAACCAGTTTGTCACGGGATGAAAAATAGATTTTGTGGTTTTTAGAATGGGGGTTCAGGGGGCAAGATGGAGGATCTGGGCATGTCCAGCCTTTCTCCTTCTTCTTCTTCTTGGCCTCCATCTTCTGGGTGATGGTGGCACTTTTGGATTGGTTTAGAGTAGAAGCTCACTGTCTAACACAGGTGATGGGTATTGGGAAGTAACTGTAAATA